TCGTATTGATATGTATATTTCTCTTATGTGGCAACACAAATAGTGTTTTTTTTTCTATCTATTGATAACACTTTATTATTCGTTTTATTAGGTTGTCTTAGATTCAAATTTAAGTAGTGTTGAATAGTTAGTTATACGTTAAGTATTTATTTAGAGTAATTTTGTCTTTTTATAGAAATAGAAATTTAGTTATGAAGTCATTATTTATTTTTATTTTTGATCCTTTCTAAAATGACTGTAAAAAGCTTAAACACAAACGGAGAGTCATAAAATAAGTTAAAAATATTGAGAAACCATAGGAAATATTAGAGAATTATGAAAAGAGAAAAAGGAAATTTATTTAAAAAAAATAGTATATTAAAAATCTAGAAAACAAAAAAAAAAAAATGAAAAAATATAATCTCTTCATTAGCTCACACTATTATATCCGCAAAAAAAGAGTGCTTTCAAACTAATGTAATAATGCAATAATGTAAAAAGCAATAAAAAAGAAGAAAAAAAAACGGATACGAAATAAAACACTTCAAGTAAAAAATATATTACGTATATTATTCGAAACTTATTATTATTTGATTTTGGATATTATTTAAAGATTTTTATTACTTTATTCGATGTATTATTTAAAGATAATCATTTGATTCTAGATATTGTTTAAAGATTATTACTATTTAATTCTGGATATTATTCGATTTTGGATTCGATTTAAAGATTATTGTTTGATTCTGGATATTAAAATTTTTTTGTTAGTTTATTCTATGCAATATTTTAAGATTATTATTATTTGATTTCTGATATTGTTTAAAGATTTTTATTATTTCATTCTGAAAATTATTTAAAAATTGTTTTTTTCTTTAATTCTGGGTATTATTTTGATATGATTATTATTTACTTTTGGAATTTGTTTAAAGATAATTATTATTTGATTCTAGTTGTTATTTGAAAATTAATTTTTTTAATTATTTTTTTTTAATAATTATTATCATTTGATTCAGAATATTATTTAAAAGCTATAATTATTTGATTCTGAATATTATTTAAAAGCTATTATTATTTTATTCTGGATTGTATTAGAAGCTTATTATTGTTTGATTAAGGATATTCTTGTTGGATTTCTGATATGGCTAGTTGTATGCAAAAGATTTGTAAAAAGGACCCTATATATTCAATTAAAGAATTACGACTGCTCTACTTAATTAAAATAATGTATATTATTTATGTATATCCTTATTTGATTATGGATATTATAGGTGTTTTTTTTTCTTTCTTTTTTTTAAAAAAAATGCAACCTGGGCAGGCTTTTTTAAAAAAATGCAATACAAATAACATGGAAGATTTGAAAAATTTTACTGACTCCAGATTCTCGTTGCACTCCCTCGATGACCCGGGCCATAGCGTCGAATTCGTTGAAAATATCAAAGACCTGATCAAACAAATTAAATTGGATCAAAGAGTGACCGTAAGAGCTATATTTTCCTTGCAACTACTTCTTTTTTAAATGTAGCGACTACATTACCTTCGAAATGTAGTTGTTACTTCACTACTTTTAGAAGACATTCTATACTGCAGAGCATAATTCACACCAATTTTCAAAATGGTTTTTGAACTAAAAAATTGAGTTAGTTAAATGAGAAGTTATTAAAAAATGTTAACTCATGTTTACATATCTACAGTTTTTTTTATTCTAAAGCATTTTTTACGAATTTGATCCTTTAACCTTCAAATTCTATGATTTTCTCGACAGTGAATATTCAATTTAATTCCTGCAAGAAATAAAGTATGATACCACCACCCTGAATAACTTTATATATTTTTTAACCGTTGTTGAACAGCCGACTCAATTTTATGGGTTTACGACTACTACTGTTCAACTCCGTAGCCTTGTCATTTTGAACCCCTTCCAGAAGACAAGGAAACTCCTGGATCGAGTATTGGTAGAAATTTGCCTTCGTGGAAGACTTTTTGATACCCCACATTTGCGTTACATGGAGAGGAAGACCAAGAGAACCTCCCACTTTTAGCCTGATAGCAAAGGGACTCTAACCCATGATCCTTCTACCACTGAGGATATTTCACTTCAGCGCTGTGGTCGGTGCAAGCCGGATGCGGAATTCGTATCGACTGGGATTCGAACCCGGTTCGCCTCATTGGAAGGCGAGTGCTCTACCCCCTGAGCCATCGTGTGCTCTGAATAACTTTATATCTAATCATTCCTTTGTTTACAAAATTTCCAATGATAATGAAAGAAATGAACTAAATCACTTAAGAATCTGAGAGAAATAACTGCTGCCAACCCAAATAATAATAAATGAAGAAATTGCTGCTCTGGAGCATCAGACATAGACCTTATTAACGCTTTGCCTAAGAGGCATTCTCATTGTATCACTCGAAAAATATTTTGCTTTTGAGCTTTGTTTCTTTACTAAACGTTAAGGAAATTTTACAGCGGCCTAGGCCTATAGGCCCATTCGCCGAATGCAGTGGAACAACAATTTAATTTGACAGCAATTATATAGAAATAAAATGTTAAAAATTTTACAGTAACAGCGATGGCAACAAGCCTCGAAAACATTGAAACACATGAGAAAGAAGGTCAACGGACCCTTAAAATTGAACATATCGTTCAACAATTTAACATAAAAACAAATTAAAACAATATTGATCGTGCTTGGTGTTGTACCGTTCAGGCCAACAGACCCTTATATTAACGAAATGTTTGTAACATCACGAACTCATTTTTACTTACTAGATACTACAGTTGAATAAAGGTATCAATAGGATCGAATTGAGAGCTAGAGCTAGTTGCTGGGTAATAGGAAAAAGTTAAGAATTACACACAAGATATAAGTACACATTAGTACTAGCCTGTCCTAAAGGACATAAAATTTGTATAAATCAGTAAAATGAAAATTTTAAAAACGTTACAATTTTAAAACATTATGTTTAAAAATAAAAATCGACTGTACAAAGCCGTTTACATGCATAAAATTTCAAGATATAAAATTATTTGTGGATAAAAGATAGGATAAAGATGTAAAAAGACAAAATTGATAAAATAACAAGTATAGATAAAATATACCCTAAGATTAAAATCATTAAAATATATTCGTCCAAAAGGGACGTAAATGTTATAAAATTCATTTAAAATTTTAAAATATTTGCAAATCAAAATTTAAAAGCGTGTTTTACTAACTAAACGTTAAAAGTAGTCGCCCGAAATCGCTACAAATTATTGTTTTTTTTTTTGTAGCGCGTCACAAACTACTCTACTCTTTTGAAAAAGTAGCGCACAACATTACAAACTACGAAAAGAAGTAGCGACTACAGTAGTTTTGATCTTACTTCCGAATACTGGGATCTAGCCTACAAAGAATATATAAGGGTGAAGAAGTCTCGCTTCTCCGATACGTAGCGGGGGCCAGCAAGGTCCTTCAGTCAAAGAATATAGCCTAGCCGCAAAGAATATAGCCTAGCCGCACTCGGGGGGGGGGGATACTGGCAACGAGTAAGCAGAAGAACTGGTTAAAGAGGGTACAGGGCTCGGTCAGGATGCACAAACTGCTCAACAGATTACTTTGGCATGAACGGCAGTCATTCGACCAGGGGTAAGTTACCCATAAGTTAATGAAAGAAGACATGTCAGTCAGTGACTTATTCAATTTTATGATGGCCACGGAGTGTTTGGGGAACATCAAGCGAAACTATTTGGTATAACTGCCACCTTGTAGAAAATACGAACCATTGCCCGCCTGATTGTCGAATGCGAAAAATTCTCAACACTCTGTGTAATCGTTTTTAACAAACAGAGGACCATGGAGCCGTGGAATAACACACAGACAAATTTGAACAATTTTTAAACGGACACTTGAAGAGCGAATGATGGTTGACGACTTCATGAATCTCCTGTGCACTATTCCATGATTTTGACCCCTGGACTGTTCCATTGCCCTTTGATTTTAGCCTTAAAACGTATTTTACACTAATCTTGTTTAAATTTTCATGCCATCTTTTTTGGGTGCTTTTTAACTACCTTAACTTTAATGGATGTTGCCTGTTTTGATTTTATTTGCCCTTTTAATATAGACTTATTTTAAATCCTACACTGGTCTTTTGCCCGTTCTTTTTATGATGCTTTACATCCATGTTTTATGGTTATTTTAATAATTTTTATTATGTAAGAACTTCGTGTGATCGGAATCAGGCTCACTCACTATAAGGTACAGTCTCATCGGCTTTTGCAATATAAGGTGAGCTGTGCCGGAGTGATTTTGAAATTGTTTTAACATGTTTGATGTGTTGGTGTTGCCACCTTGACTTTTGTATTATTTTTTTAATAAATAGCCCGGGAGCCGTGGTGGCTCAGAGGATAGAGCGTTCGCCTTCCAATGAGGTGAACCGGGTTCGAATCCCAGCGATAACTGGTCGATACGAATTCCGCAGCCGGCTCGCACCCACCACAGTCCTGATGTAAAATATCCTTAGTAGTAGACGAATCATGGGTTAAGAGTCCCTTTGCACGTCTTTGTGGTTTTCCTATTTCCATGTAACTCAAATGCGATTTAGTTTCTTCAAAAAGTCCCCCACGTAGGCAAATTTGTCTCAATGCTTGAATGGAATCTTCTGAACTGGGTTCAAAATTACAAAGCTACCGAGTTGAATATTACTAGTTGCAAACCCCAAAAATTGGATCAACGACGATTATAAAAAATAAATTAAGTGTAAGGCCTAGCCGATCTTTTCGGTCGGCCGTGTATTTTGTTGTTGTTGTAGTTCATTTACGTCGCACTAGAGCTGCACAATGGGCTATTGGCGACGGTCTGGGAAACATCCCTGAGGATGATCCGAAGATATGCCATCACAATTTTCCGTGTATTTTGTGTTCGGGTTGCGGTCTTCCAGGGAGGACTGTCGCGATGGCGGGTTCACAAACTCCTTTCCTGTATCTTGTTGAATTGCTTGATGATTGTGTTAAAATCTTTATTTTCTTTTCTCTTTTTCTTTAGACAGTTGACAGAAGGTTCTCTAAAAGATAATAACATTTCAGAGGGATCGAAGCTTACTCTTCTGCCCAATGTTGAAACTGGACTCGTCGTAAGTTCATTTATTCATTTAAACATTTACCGTTTCAGGTTAAAAACTGCCCTTTTACGAAATTCAAAAGTTTTGCGACGGGACATTTTATTTCTGGTTGGACGGGACATTTATGTTGCGTTGAGATGGTCTATGTTTTTTACTTAAAAATTTAGATTTATGAGTTTTCGTGTGAATGAACTATTTCGCGTCTTTTGCTGGTTGTATAGTGAGTTCGATCCTGACAGCCGACAAAACGACCAGCGTGTAAATGCTGCAAGGTGCACGTAAAATCTGAAAGTTGGTTTAGTTGGCTGAGTTTGGAGAAAGGCGTTGTTCACGTCGCCTGACTAGGATCCAAATGACGTGGCATTCCTCCCATGGCAGTTAATAGATAGAAACCTAAAAATAGGCTTTATCCTTTGCCTTGGATGGGTAATGAGGATGATAAAGTATTTCTGACGAATTTGATTGAGTTAGTATCAAGTGATTTGAGCCGTGGTGGCCCAGGTCGTAGAGCGATAGATTCAGGTTGTAGAGTGGTACTTTTCAACGAGGTGAGCCGCGCCTGAATATCAGCGATACGAATTCTGCACCGACCACAGTGCTGACAAAAAAATATCCTCAGTGGTAGACGGATCATGGGTTAGAGTTTCTTTGCCGTCAGACTAACCTTGGGAGGTTTCTGTGGTTTTCCTCTCCGTGCAACGCAAATATGGGTTAGTTCCATCGAAAAGCTCGCTACCATTCCAATTTTCTCGCAATGCTAGATCCATGAGTTTTCTTGTCTGCTTGATTGAGTTCAAAATTATAAAGCTACCGAACATTGAACATTGACAAACTCAAAATTGGGTCGGCCGTTCAGCGACGGTTACAAAGTAAAATGTAAGAAGAAAAAAAATCAAATGACTAAGATAGCGTTTAATTTTTGAGAGTTTAGAATTATTATTTAATTGAAGAGCGCACTCACAGGGGTTTTTATTAATGGGGGGAAATAATATAAAGTGGGAGTGCATCGGGTTGTATAATGCAGGACTCTTTGTGCCAAAGATTTTAGAGACAAAAACTTCTGCATTTCGCCTACATTTTATAATCTTCACACCACGAGAGATCAAAGTACCTTTTCATCATTCACATGAATAGTGGTGTGGAAAATTTTTTTTCTTTATTTAAATTTACTATACAACAAATTGTTTGGGCCAGGATAGCCTGGTTGGCAAGACTCTGGACTCACAATCGTGAGAATGTGAGTTAGAATCCAGCCGGCCGAAGGCTCTCTATGTACTAAATGGTGACTGGTACACATTAAATCTGTCTGGTCACAGAGTCCTCCACGTTCCCATAACAAATTATGCCTCTGAGCATACTGAATTGGAGATGGATCGTTCTCTGGTTCTGGATGTGTGAATATATCGTATTTGGTATAATGGAAGTGTGAATGCGTCTTATGAAACGGGGGTGGCAGAAGTCGAATTCTTGGCCATAGATGGCGCCACTGTAAAACAAAAACAAGTTTCCGACGACAACATCAACAACGAATCATGCATTGAAACTTAATAATATAGCCACTTGAAGAAATTTTCTCAGCAAGTGTAGGTCGACCTGTTTCTTTTTGCCTCCGCTTTAATTTTTAAGTAACTAATGCACACTATTATTGAGTATGTTGGAATGTTTCAAATTAGGTAAATAACATAATACTAACAATATTTTAGCCCTACACTAACAAATCTATATAATACTATTATATTATTAATATAATTTTTGTAAATAATAATTATAATTACTAAAAGTTATTATAGATAATAGTAATTATATTAATTATTATTATTTATTGAAATTGAGCAACCGACCCAATTTTGATCTTACTGTAAATGTTTAATTCCTTAGCCATAGCCTTGTCATTTTGAGCCCAATCCAAAAGACAAACGAACTCTTGGATCAAGTATATAAGGAGAAATTTGCCTTCGTGGAGGACTTTTTGAGGGAACTAACCCGCATTGGCGTTACATGAAGAAGAAAACGACGGGAACCTGACGGTAAGGGTACTTGAACCCCTGATCCGTCTACTACTGAGGATATTTCACGTGAGCACTGTGTTCGGTGCGTAATTCATATCGATCAGCCATCGCTGAGATTCGAACACGGGTCACTTCTTTGGGACAAATAAATCTACAACAAAATAGTTTGATTACAACTTCTTTTCTTCTGACCCTGATTGTATTGACTTTAAAAATGTGATTTGAATATATTAGGTTGTCAATTGCACCGTGTTCAGCGATTAAAAATTTATGCATATTTTATTAATCAGCATTTCTTTAATGAAATATGCATTTCTAAAACTTTTTTTGGGAGTGATAATAAAACCTGTCATATTTAATTCTCTACTTTGTTGTTGTTGTTGTTGTAGGCCATTAATTCATGTAGGGTGCGATTATTCTTGTTTTCCAGTGGTTCCATCTATGTCTAAAAATTTGACTTCTGCCATACTCTTACATCCCACCCGTTTATAGGGCGGACTCATTCATACATTCATTCATTTATCTACAGATCGTAGTTTTGACCTGAACCGGAGAACAATCAGTCTCCAGTTAAGTACCCTCAGAGGTATAGATTTGGTATGGGAGTATAGAGGACTTTGTGACCCGACAGATTTAACGTGCACCAGTCACCATTTACTACCCTGGGAGTCTTCGGCTTGCTGGAGTCAAACTCCCATTCTCACGGACATGAGTCCTGGCCCCTACCAATCATTCTCTGCTTAGTGATGGTACTTTTAAAGTATGTATGTTAGTATGATAAAAAGAGTAAAAAATGTGGTACATTTTATTTATTAGAATTTTTTAAGATAATTAGGACAATAATGCTCACTTTAATAAATTCATATTTAAAAAAAAGTGAATGCGTTGTTCCTAGCAAAATTTTTCGCAATGGTAACTAACAGAGTTTTTAATCTTTGTTTATGGAATACCACTAAAAGGAATCCCTTTCAATGAAATTAATCACTTTAAATAAAAATAATACATTTATGGTTAAAGTGTTTAGCTCAAGTGTCTATAGTGTTTGCTGATCTGACTTGATTATTATTTACTAAATTATTTTTGATTTTAAAAATTGGTAGCTATTAATGATGAAATAATAATTGTTTTCCCTACTAATGTTATCCATAAGTTGTTTAATCTCTTCAAAAAACGTAAATTATGTTTTTTCAGACTCAAAATCCAGAGCAGTACGTGATGCAAGCTCTAGAAACGCTCAACGAATCCCAGGTAACTACAAAAGCATTATTTTCAGTATCTATTCTTAAATTTGGATTATTAGGAAATAAAATATCACGCTAAAATTAGTTCATTGTTTTACACAATTAAGGGATTTTTCATCGCTAAAAACATAAATATCGACTAACTATCATCATTGAACTCTGGTGTTCTAAGCATCTGGTAACAGAATCTCACCTGGATAGAGTAACGTATTACAGATTCACACGTAGACAATGCATCTTGTAACAGAATCTCATGTGGATAAATTATCGTGCGTTACTCACGCAGTCAAAGTGTCCTGTAACTCGCGGGATAATGTAAGGTGTAATAGAATCTCGCATAGGCAAAGTATCCTGTAACCGAATCTCATGTGGGTAAAGTATCATGTTACAGAACTTCGTTGACAAAATATATTGTAACAGAATCTCACGTCGGTAAAGGATCATGTTACCGAATCTCTCTCGGGGATAATGTATTGGGTAATCCTGTAACCGCATTTCATGTGTGTAAAGTATCATGCTGCACGATCTCACGTGGTCAAAGTTTCATGTAACAGAATCTTACACGGGTAAAGTATCGTGTTGCAAAATCTCACATCAAAAAAGTATAAATTGTAACTGAATTTCCCGTGGGTAAAGTATCATGTAACAGACTCTCGCGTGGACAATGTATCTTGTAACCGAATCTGGTAGAGTTACCAACGAGGACCAAGCATTTAGTAATATAACTTCACGCAAATAAATTATCATGACAGAATTCTTTTCGACAAAAGACTCGTCATAGTATTTAAAGAAAGTACTCTTGCATTAACGTTTCGTGCAGGAAAACTTTTGTCATAGAACCAGTCCGTCAAGAGTTTACAGAATAAACAATATTTTTTTTTTTTTACAATAGGCTCTATTAAGAAGATTATTTTTGTGTTTGGATCGTATAATCCACTTGCAGATAATTGGAAGCATACTATAGTTAATACTCTACCATATAAGCATATAGTTAATACTATACTTTATAAGCATGTAGTTAATACTGTACTATACTATATAAACATGCTATAGTTAACACTATACTATGTAAGCATACTATAGTTAATACTATAGATTTGAATTTTATTTCTCTTTAGGTGGATAGCTTCCTAAATGGTCGATCTCCACTCAATCTCAGCATGAGGATGGGTGATCACATGATGTTCATTCAGCTCCAGCTTTCAACGGTACATCCCTCATCCAGCAATAACTCCGGAGTGACTCCACCGCCTACACCTCCTACGACACCCACCACCACAACTGCACCACCGCCATTCCCACTCCCATCTACCGTCATCACTTCCACAACAACAGTCACATCGCCGCCCATTTCACCACCACCATCGCCCCACACCATTACTCCACCGTCGCCTTTTTCACCTACAGGTGGCAGCACCAGTGGCGAAGAGTCTTCATTCAGTAATCATTTTCTGGCTGAGGCTAGCCGTAATCTCGCGCACACACTCCGGCATTTGTCCTCCAAAACACTAACGAAGAAAATGAACGAAACTTGCAACGTAAGTCTTAGTTGTATTTCTTTAACTTTTTAATTATATCTCTTAGTCAGTACTTATTTACTTCACACTAGAGCTGAATAATGGACTATTGGCGATGACTGAGAGTGCTTTGAACACATGCCATCACAATTGCCCCCGTCGACCTGCTAGTAAAATTAAGCACTTTATGATAGAACAGTATAATGAGGACTCTTACCGAGGCCCTCGGTTTTTTTGGTATATCAGAGAAAATGTCTTTTTTAAAATGTATTAATGGAACATTCTACAGGGAATAAATAGAACATGGCTTTGATTTAAGTATTGGATCATTGCCGATAATTTTATTGCCTGTCATTTTTTCATTTATTATAAAAATATATTTCTGCGAGTATAGATACTAGTTGTTTTAAGTTTGGAAATGTAACTAAACATGGTTATTCCATTATAAAAGGGATTATATCCTCACAATCATTCCCTCGGATTTTCTAAATATCAAAAATAAATAAATATCATTGCTGGAAACTATCGGACGCAGTTCTGGTTTATGCTATATTTCTAAATGTGGTATAAACATGTACCGAAGGACCGAGTTTTGAAATTTTAAAGAGCAAATTGATTGAAGCCTTTTTTTAAGACCATTTTTTTTAAAAAAAAAAAATGATCCATATACATCACTTTTGGCTAGTGAACCTGACAGATGAATCTAAGAGTTATTTTTATTATAGGGTAGATGTTGTATTGCAAGGCGGCACGGTGGGGCTGTCATCGAAAGCATGTATCATCATGGGAAAGGAGTTTTTTCTGGGACATTCTCTGGTAAGCCTGGTCTTAATACATTGTTTTTTACCTTTTTACCACGTTTTTATCAAATCGCTTTCGTGTGGGTGAAATCGTGCAATTTAAATTGTGACCCTATTCTTCCTATCTGTATCTCTGAAATTTTAATTACAGCTCTGGATCAAATGACAAGTGTAATTTTGTTAAATTTGTTGTAATTTATAACCACATTATCGCCAGGCCAAAGTACAAAACACTGAACTAGAGTCAATTTAGTATCAATTGTTCCTTCACAACTACCACCAGGATTTATTATTACTAAATAACTCTACTTTATCGACAAAGAATCGCTAATTTAAATCGTTCAATCATATCATTCAAAATTTATAAAAGTGGAGTTATTCGGTTTGGTACTTCGAATCAGAATTAGTTAATGATGTCAGTGTTCTTAATTATTCCATAAACAGCTTACAGCACATAAATTGTTTTATTTTACAGTTTTATTTACGAAAATATAAAATACTAATAAAACTCTTAACACTTTAAATTAAAAATGGCGTAAATATAAAATAAATATAAACTCAGACATTTTGTTTCTTCACCACAAAAAAAGAAGGAACAATCTCAAAAAAGCAAAACAAACTGCTGTTACCATAGCAACTTAATTTTATGAACTAGATCAAAGTTACAGATTAAACAGACACAGGCCCTTAGGCATCATAAAGCTTTCCTTATAGCTAACTCACTTTTGGAGTGAAAGAGAATTTGTGACGAAAAGTTTCTCCCATGGTTTTATGTCCTCTTGAGGTTATTTTTCGATGGCTTCTTTGTGATATGAAATGATGCTTTTTTGCGAATAATATGGAAAATGTCGCCAAATGAGTGATTTTTGAAAAAGTTTATTAACTTTTAAATTATTTAAGTTATTTGCCCGTTATAAAACCCATGTAGGGCAAGATATACATAGCGCACATATTACAGTAAGATGATATACATAGTTTAAAATTCATCGTTTTGCTTCAAGTGTTGTGGCCTTTTTTATTTTCCTTGTCGACGGAGATTCGAAAAACCATGTTAACGCTCTTTTTTAAGGAGATGTTCTTGCCAAACAGAAGAGCGGTTTGTTTAAAGCCGCTTAATTGTAAAATCGCCACCGGGAACAAAGCCCTTGAGGGCTAATATTGAATTGACATTAGCATTTAAAAATTTAAAACATAGAAAAAAATGAGTTTATGGAAACTGAAAGTAAACTGTAAAGCATTAATTGCTAAAAAAAAAAGAAAATTCTAAATATCGAACGCAAAAAAGAAGAAAAAATTACGGCAGGATTACGCTCATGGGGAAGTAATACAGCCATAATTTGTTTGTATTTTGATATTTCGAAAAAAAAATAAATAACTTTCTCAATAGAATTTGCCATGAAGGGTTTTTTCTTCTGTCCTCCCAACAGTTATCATCCAGCGATAAGGTTGTCCCAATTATTTTTGTGAAAAAGCCTCGTGAATTGTGACTCATTATATAATCTACTTTTAAAGAGAGTTATATTTTTGTCATTTTGTAAAGAAAAAAATCAGTGTAAAAAAACACAATTTTGTGAAGAAAAAAAAGGTGTTTTGTTCAAAATTTTTGACAAAATTTAGGTTTTTGGAGAAAATATACTTATAATTTATTGAAACCATACTGTCTGTAGTTGAACTGTTCTTTTCTGCCAGGATGTTATATTTGTGAATATTCGTGTGACTCTATGTAAAAATAAGGTCTTATTTTTGTGGAGGGAAAAAAATACAGAAACAGTGTTTTTCAAGGAGATTTAAATTTAAAATTATGAATTGAATACGTTATCAACTCTGTTTTGAAAGTGAAAAACATTGCTAATGGTCAATTTGTGAATGATCCGTNCGTTCCGGATAATCGGTTTCCTACTGTATTTGTGAATATTCGTGTGACTCTATGTAAAAATAAGGTCTTATTTTTGTAGAGGGAAAAAAATACAAAAACAGTGTTTTTCAAGGAGATTTAAATTTAAAATTATGAATTGAATACGTTATCAACTCTGTTTTGAAAGTGAAAAACATTGCTAATGGTCAATTTGTGAATGATCCGTTTAAACAAAATATTTTATGGAGCGTCTGTTAACAGATTCATATTTCTCCTAAAATTATCTTTATAAATGGAAATAAAATAACGTTGAATAAGTTGTCCACGCTTTTAAAGTGCTCAAAATAAATAAACCTTAATACTTAATAAATAAACCTTAAATAACTTTGGATCTAATGATCGGAGTTCTAGGACTTAATCTTAATGGTTAGAGCGCTTTTACTCAAATATGATAATTAATTAAGATGTTGATTTTACTTTTTGCTTATTTCGCTATATCAAGAGAACTTTATAAGCGAAATGCGCATAATGATAACATTTATTTATTCACAGATAATTTCATGCAAAAAATAACTTGATCATGAGTATTTCTCATTTTTTAGCATTTCATTTAATAGTAGTGGGAAAAATTTTGAGCTGTAAGGTATACAATATTTTACATCATTTTGAAAAATGGAACTTTACTTGACAAAATGCCAAATTTGAGCAAAATCTGTGAAATAGATCCTGAGAAAGTGAATTTTAAGTATACGACTTTTTTTAAAATTCGATTAATCAGGAGCGATTCAACCGATTTTGCTTAAATATTGTATTTTGCCATCTAAAATTGCATTCTTTAAAATGATATAAAAATTGTATACCTTGCAATTAAAATTTTTTCAACTATTATTGATTAAACTAATGAAAGAAATAATAATTACTAAAAAAAATTTTTTTAGCATGGAATCTATTTTTGAAATTTTATAATTATGTGGAAGCATTTATTAATTCTCTTGAAACGCCCTCGAGATATGGCGAAACACGAGAAAAGTAAAATTTACATTAAGATGTCTGTATCTCTCATGACCAAACTGTGGGAACCATATTTCCCAGACTGCGGGTAGATACCCGGTATATTTTGAGGGTCAGAAAACTGAAAACGTCGAAAAAAATATGTTTATTCTCGAAAAGTACGTTTTTGTCTCTGATTTTGTAACTGAAAGTATCATCTGCACTCATTAATTTACATATTTGAAGACACCTCCTTGAAACGTAAAGATTGAATCCTAGAACGTGAAGATCCAATAATTAGATCAAAAGTTAATCAAGGTGGTCCTTTTTTATTTAGTGCTCTGTTTATTAAAAAATATGTAATGGATTTTTTTTGTTGTTGATGTGCAGGTACTTTGAGCCCTTTACTTCAGGACAGAGAAGGCCGGCCAAGAAGAAACATCTGCACAATCGTCCACATTCTCAACGACCTCCTTGGAGCCTCTTCTCACTGCAATCCTTCGCCTAAATGCACCCCTCACAGAACACAAACTCCGCACAAAGAGCTCAAAGGTCAGTCCTTTATCCATCTTGCAACTCTGTTGTTCAATTGTTTATTTCAGAAAGAGAATAGGTCACATTTTTTTTCATCATATGCTCTTAATGATGCATAGTGCTCATGTGTTCTACTTTTGTACTATAAGGAGCTACGATTAATTTTCAGGACTGATCTGATAACTCCCTAAAAATATTATATGAATTACACACGCATTTAATATGTTTCAAACAACTTTTCCCTATTGTAATTCACTTCAATATTTAAGTGTAAATGTTTCAGAAACAACTTTTAAAGTCACCTTTTTGACTTTGGTATTCTCTTAATGTCTTCCACTTGTTCCTCGTAACTTGTTGCATTTACAGATTCTGGTTATAAATAATATTCTTTCAATTTATTCAATTTGTTCTTCGTGACTTGTTGCGTTTAAAGATTCTGGTTACAAATAATATTCTTTTAATGTATTCAATTTGTTCTTCGTGACTTGTTGCGTTTAAAGATTCTGGTTGCGAATAATATTCTTTCAATGTATTCGATTTGTTCTTCGTGACTTGTTGCGTTTACAGATTCTGGTTACAAATAATATTCTTTCAATGCATTCGACTTGTTTTTCGTGACTTGTTGCTTTTACAATTCCAATTGCAAATGATATTATCTTAATGTCACCGACTTGTTCTTCATGACCTGTCCTGGGTAAATTTCTGGAACACTTTTTGTTTTTGAAATTGAAAAACTAGCAATAAGATTTAAGAGTATCAAAAGAATCAAGAACATCAGAAATAAAGAGCATTCTGAAACTTTTACAACTGAGTACAGGAAGATATTGCGTGGAGTAATTTATATAAGTATTGTTACCTCACATAATATTGACAGGAGTTTTTAGATCAGTCTTTTTTGGATATTTGATTTCATCTTCTTGCACTAAACGCATAAAAGATGACCATTTAACCAGTTTAACGTTTCTTTGAAGACACTCCAAATATAGATATAAACACATTTAAAATGCATTATTTTGAAATGGAGATCGTTAAACTAGATCAAGAATAGGATTATGGCATAGTAAACATTTTAAGCTTCTCTATTTACATATAAGGATTCTTTAATGACTACTTTTAGAATCCTTTAAAAAATTACATTTCAAAAACTATGCACTCTAAGAGGATCAAAAATTTGTATTTAAGTGCTAAAGAACATTTTTGAATTTTGATCAATCACTATTGAAGTATATAAAATTAAGGTAGTATGTGACGAAATTAACGACCGCAGGGTGACTTAGTATAACAGATAGAGATTAAAAATTGTCTGTCACTTTATTTTTGTTGTTAAGACTCCATGTGCATTTTATTATTTTTTTGTTAAATATGGAATGAGCCGCGATGGCTCAGGGAATAAAGCATTCCCCTTCCAATGAGGTGAACCGGGTTCGAATACCAGCATCGGCTGGTCGATATGATTTCCGCACCCGGCTCGCACCGACCACAGTGCTGATGTAAAATATCCTCAGTGGTAGACAGATCATGAGTTAGATTCCCCCTTGCCGTCCAGCTAATCCTGGAAGGTTTTCGTAGTTTTCCTCTGTATGTAATGTGCAAATGCAGCTTACTTCCTTCAAAAAGTTCACAAAGGCAGATTTTCTCCTAATACTTGTTCCAGGAGTTCCCTTGTCTTCTGGATTGGGTTCAAAATTACAGGGTACGGAGTTGAACATTATTAATTGTAAACCCAAAAAATTTGATCCGATTTTCTATGACCGTAAATAAAATAAAATAAATACGGAATTATTATAAATATTTTATACTATTCTAAAAATAACATTATTTCTGGGTTGTTTCTAATATTTTTTTTTTCATTATAAAAATGAACCTAATAATATTCCCCAGGTTTTGATAAATACTTACTTATACCCAGATAAATACTTCAAAATAAATAGCTGACATTTAATAAGATTAATAGTTTTTTTAATAGTTTAAAATTTTCATTTTTTTAAAAAAAAAGTGGTCACTGTTAAAAATAAGAAGGCTACAACTTCCCATTGGCCAATAGTAAAATTTTTTAGTTTCACCCTATTCTCGGAAGTTATTAATATGATCCAAAACCAGTTTATTTGTTTAGTTGGATTTCTTAAATGGTCACTTTATTTAAAAATTTACTTTTTTCATTTTAGAAGATGTACTTCGAGAGAAAGAAGACAAAGTTTTACGGGAAAAAGTCCAGCACATCCAATCATTGTTGAAAGAAAAGCGGAAAGGGCGTCGACCTACTCCTTATTCAACCTTCAACCCTGAAAGCAGACGATCGGGAGGTCTCTTCTTTTCAACTTTGGAACCATCCGAGGAACAACCGGAACAATCCATCGGAACAGACTACAGCTCTGAAACGGCTGCTGCCTGAATCGAACTCAAAGACTTTCAGCTGGGTTCTTATTACCTTTTGAGTACCGGGTGCTCATGTTGTTGATTATTCAAGAAATCGTTCTCTGAGGAGCTCCTGGAGTATTCTTCATTCATTTGAGGAAATTCGTTAGTTAAATGCGAGAATCTCGATTATTCTCTTAAGTTGACATTTCAATTAATTAGCTTTCAAGTTGTGATTGAGGAAATAATGCCTTGCCTTTATTTCTTGTCTGCAAGATAAATACTGGCAAAATTTTTAAACTCTCCAACGCTCATTCGCGTTTGCACTATTGCCATATTTATATGCTGTCAAAAGGGGTCCATTGTTTTATGCCAAATGCACTTAGAACCTTCTTCCACTCTAAAATGATTCCATCTGAGACATTGTCTGAGATCCCCACAATTTAGCAAGTTAAATCAATGCTGATAAGAAGTATCTTGTTCGAGAAAAAAAGTTCTCTTTGAGCCTTCTAATTTATTCACACGCATTTTTTGAATCATGATCAGTTGATTTAAATCTGTCAGGATGACTTGATTTGAATCATTTTAGTTCAATTATTTTCACTCTTAACTACTTTAATATGCTATTTAAACTAATGTAAGGACTAAATCATAAAAAATAAGTTTTTTTTTTTTTTTTTTTTTTTTTTTTTTAAATAACCAGCTAAAATAATGTATTTTGCAAATTATAAATCTATAAAAAATTTTAATTTCTGAGTGAATACTTTCGATGTCCCATTTGAGAGGACATTGTTGTTGGGCTAAGAGTTAAGGACCAAATGCATCTTAATTGAAAGATAACACTAACTAAGCCAGAGGGTCCTAATTTTTTTCGGCTACAGAATCCTAAATAATCGAGCTTCTTCCCCCCAGAACCCTGACTTCATAATTAAAGTAAATAAAGACAATTGTGTGCAGATTAACTATCGAAAGACACTTTATTTTGACTAATATCCTTTTTTATATTTAATAAAATAAATGAAATATTTTCATCGTTTTACTATTAATATTCTTAAATTAGGTTTTATGTTCGACAATTGAATTCGCAATCTTGGAGATAAATCTAGTCTAGCTAAACATTTCTTTTTATATATTTCTAAAAAAAAATTTATACACATTTAAAATTATATTTATATAATTTAAATTTCTATATCTCTCTTTGGCATAGAATATAACTTCATTTATTGCAACTACTTTATAACTATTTTGATTACCTTTAAATATAACTTCATGAAGACAATAAAAATAATGGATTATTGATTAGATCTAAATCTAATTACAGTTTTCCCTTTAACTCTTTCACGGAACCCTGGGATTCCTTTATTTGGTGATTCATCAATTTGAATTTCAGGGTGTGAATCAAAGGTTTTTGAGGGTAATAGTATCTATTTCACTGCAGCATTTGTTATGCAAAAAAATTTGGTTGGATAATCGAGATTCTGCAATTTTATCTTTAATACCAGCTCACATGAAATAATATTTATCACCTATACTCTAGTATAGTACTACTGTGTTTTTTGAACAAAATCTTTGTTTATATAAAATATATAAACCTGGCTTCTGTTGCGTACAAACATGTTTGTCCAATAGTTTTACAAGAAATATGATAGCTTTAAAAAAGAAAACTTGGTTTGCATGTTAAAAGTAGTCAGTTTAAATGCTCTTTAACATGCTTGTGTCACATGACACAATAAATAATGCAATAATGGCGTCGTTTGCAGCGAACAAAATATTTAATCATATTTTTTATTACATCTATTTTATTATCTCATATAATTTTTTTTTTATTGGTTTCTGTTTTCACTATGAAGCTCATTTCTATGCTATGAATGAATCAACATTTTGTTTGTTGTGTTATACTCTTTCTCTTTCTAACCTTATATTAATTTAGGAAATTATATATAGTTTTTTTAAAAATTATCTTTTTTTCAAATTTTTAAAAAAAAATTTATGTAAATTTGAAAATAACCAATACAAACTTATTTAATTATAAAATACTCCCTTTCTAAAAATTTGTGAAAAATTGGTGNATATATATATGTGTTACTGTGGATGACCGAAATTGTTGGTTGTTAACAATCACATAATCTCTTTGGTAAATGTCCGAAATATATACTAAGTCTAGTTAAGTACCACTGACCAGTATGCATTTAACCGGTACTCCGAACACTGATGTTTCTCCTAATCTATTCTCAACAGATATTAAAATATCGAATGAATATAATAATATCAACGAATAAATTATTATCAAAACGGGCATAACAAATAATTTCAGACATTCACCAAAGCGACTATGTGATTGTTGACTTTTACTGGTGAAAGTCGACATTTTCCTGATTTTGGCCATTCACGGTAACATGTATATATCTATAATATAAGTCAAGACCAAACACATAGCTTTTTTTATTTCACTTAAATAACAATTTTTTTCTTACTTAAATATTAACTTATAAATCCCATTTTAATAATTTTATTTTTGCTTTAATTCTTTACGAAGACTCAAAACTATATAATAAGGGTAGTTATTAGGGAACACCTTGTGCTTATGATTAAGCCTTTGAATTACTTTGTAGACCTAAAATTATGTAACTTATTTCTTTACAAATTATTATTATTTTATGAAACGTACACTTTAAGTTGGCATACATACTTTAATTACGCGCTTTGCGTTGTATATAGAAAGAAAAAGAAAAGCAATACTCTGCATGTTTTATCTTGAATTATTATATTAGTCTCTTTATTTGCTCAATGTTGTCACAAATTTTATTTTCAAAGCAAAATGGTTGTGTCTGTTGTTGTTCATTTTTACAATTGGTTATTCTTTATACTCTTTGCAAATAGAACACCAAGTTTACGCGATTTTCCCACTCTTCACACTTTCCTCATTGTCATGGCTTCCTCTTCTTGCTGCCATAAGGGAAAAAAGAGAGAGAAATTTCGCTTGAGGGAGGAAATGGCGTAACCTTGGGTAATCTTACAAAGAGTATAATTGTGTATCTATATAGCTATTATACTTTTATGCTGTGATTGTTTAGCAATCAAATGTATGTATGTATCGATGCTCATCACACTTTTTTCACGTTGATGTACGTCTTTTTTTATTCATATGTAGAAAAAAGTTCTATTTTGATGCAAAAATAGAACGTTCTATGCAATGTAGACTATTTGTCACTTATATAATGTACATGCTTTATGTATGGTTAAAAATTTTATATATGTTCCCATTCCTCTTCTGCATATCCTATATGATGTAAGTTTACTTTAAAACAATATCCCCATATCACTTGAATCTAGTACCATCCATTATATACTGCTTTATATAGGAGAAAATAGAATAAGTGGGACTCGTAAAAATTATTCTTTATAGTACAGTGAAAAGTGGAATAGCGAGAGATATTAGTTTATTTCACTTGAAAAACTAAAAAAATAATATTCAAATAATAATGCAGCTTATTTAAGTTGTTTTGTTTATACATTTATTGCATTTATTATTATTTTTTTGGGGGGAGGGGTATAAAAACATTTCTATTAAAAAAAAAAGTTGGAAATATTTTTTAGAAAATTCAAAATAATAACTTAGTAATACTCACGGAGATTTGAAAAATGATGAAGTAAAATAAAAAATATATTATATTCAAAAGAAGTAATAAAAAGCAATATTTTGTAAGGTAGAATCGGTCATGTCTTAATGAATTTTTTGTTTCAATGTTTATGAATTTTATGATCCCACATGTTATCCACATATGTGGCTCTACAATTATACTTTCATGATGATGTGTTTATATTGTTTGTGTGTAAACTTACATTATTGTGTATTCACACTGCCTTTAATGTTCAGTATTATTTGCATACCTATATTTTTGCTTTCATTGTATTATTTTCTTTTCTTTGCAGTTCTTATTTGAAGTAAAAACTTTTAGTCTGAACAAAATGAATCTTTCAACAACGTTTATTTAAATTTTTTTTTTTACATCTATCCCGTGGCGAATGCCCTTCATCATTATTTTCTAACCCTTTGTAAAAAAATATATTTATATATAATGATTCATTTAAAGAGTTGAGAAAACGGACTTTATTAAACTCTGGTAATTTAATATCTAAATCAGTAATGTACGTTTAATCTCAACTGAAACATTTTTACTTCCATCTCATTTGGAAGAATAAACGCTGTATTCAAAAACCGTCAATTATATATATATTTGTTAATATACTTTTTAAAAACAGCCGGACGTCAATATTTTGGCCATCAAGAAGAAAATCCGCTGCAAAAATGTAACGAATCAAGGAAAGTGCAAAAAAACAGATTGCCTGATTAAACCTAAAATCGAAATGAACTATGGTCCATTACAACAAATTTGACTCGGACTAAAAAAGTAGTTAATAATGCTCCTCAGCCCAGAAATCGATGTAGAAGGCTGATATCGCGTAGAATCTCAATTATCCGAATTGCTTTAATCCGAAAATCTCAGTTAACCAAAGCTAATTCTGAAGATTTTTTTAAACTCTTACTTAGTTCCTTTTTTATTTTTCTCACTTTTAATGATAGGCTGTCACTGTCTGTTTGAAATATGTTTTTAATTTTATAACCGCCGTTGAACAGCCGACCCAATTCTTTGGGGTTTACGACCACTCATGTTCAGCTCTGTGTCATTTTGAACCCAATCCAGAGGACAAGGGAACTCCTGGATCGAGTATTGGGAGAAATTTGCCTTCGTGGAGGGCTTTTTGACAGAACTAACTAGTATTTGCGTTACATGGAGAGGAAAACCTCCCACGGTGAACCTGACGGCAAGGGGACTGTAACCCATGATCCGTCAACCACTGAGGGTATTTTAAGTCAGCACTAGGGTCGGTGCGAAGTTCGAATCGAGCAGCTGTTGCTCTGTTCGAACCCGGTTCACCTCATTGGGCGGCGAGCGCTCTATCCCCTGAACCACCATGGCTTGTTTGAATTATTTGTCTTTTGAACTAGTGACTAAATTTTTTTAAGTTCTACCCCTTCTAAGGGTGTTCTAATTATCGAATTTCGACTCCGTTGTTTTTGTTGGAAATCAAGTTGGTTGTTTTCAGTATGATTTCCTCAGTAGTTTTTTGTTAGATTGTGTTGGATCTTTCTATTAGCTTAAACATTAATTTGTGGCCTCGAATTATTTACTCTGTTATCTTCACTTTTGAATAGGATTTTAAAAAGATAAATTAATGGCTTTTTTTGCAGAACACTTTATAATCTATGCGCATTTGAAACGAGCCGGCATCTCACGTTGCTTAACTTTGTTCATAAATAAAAGAAGTTAACCTTTTTTTCACATGGATTCGATTTCGGTTATTCCTAAAATAAGTTACAATTAAATTTCCTTAAAAATAAATGATTTTTGGTTAAAAACACTCTTTAACTGGCACTTTTAAAGTCATACTATGACGATCGCCATTCCCAATAATACTACTGTCTCAGACAACGAATTGAATAAAGATCACAACGAAATTTTACTTATAAAGATATCCCCGAATTATCCGAACGAATTGGATACTTGCAACTGGTCACATGGTTATGTCAAATCACGTGGTTGTGCAGGACTCTACAATTTCTTATCACGTTGAATCATTAGATCTTCCTTAGTGTGTGTTCATTTTAAAGGCTTTTATTTCAAAACTGCATTGCATATCACACTTGTCGCCAAAGCTTATTTCTGTATTAAAACGAAATTTCATATCACTTCTAAAAAAGAATGTTCTATTGATATTTGTGTTAAATATTTGCAAATCTTTATTTAAATCATAGATTCATTCCGATTCAGTTGTACATTTATTCTTGTGTAGTGAGCAGTTCCTCTTACAATATAAAATAAAATTATATCGATTTGTGTTTTCTATCCTAGATTCTTTTCATGACATCAGAGCTATAAGCAAGACAAGCCTATTATTTGTTGATATTGCTTTTCAGAAACGCTTTGTTGTCATTTCAGTTCGGCAGTAGACTAATCGTAAAGACACGCTTCCCAGTAGAACACCGAAGTCAAGCATCACTGGCTGCTGTCAGTGACACTTTGTCAGTGACCGAAGGTGTGCGGTACCGGTCCTCGTCAAACTGTTCTACCCGTAAAGTGCACAACTTAGCGGGGAGGCCGTCGAGCTACCAAAGCAGGGAAGCCATCCCCTTTTTGCAGAGGATCAAAATTGATAGGCCAGCTTTATTTACGTCTCACTACAGCTGCACAACGGGCTATTGGCGACGGTCTGGGAAACATCCTTGAGGATGATCCGAAGACATGCCATCACAATTTTGAAGAGATGGCTGCGCTGCTTTGGTTGCCCGACAACTGGCGCGCGAAGTTGAGCACTTGACGGTAGAACAGTTTAACGAGGACCGATGCCGCTCACCCTCGGTCCTTACGCAGGCTGATCAGCCAGTGATGCCTGACTTCGGTAATTTGTTGGGAATTGAGAGGAAAACTACGAAAACCTAACACTGTTAGCCTGACGGTAAGAGGACTCTAACCCATGATCCGTTTACTATTGAGGATATTTTAAGTGAACCGGGGTAGTCGTATCGACCAGCCATCGCTGGGATTCGAACCAAGACTACCTCATTGGGAGGTGAACGCTCTATACCCTGAACCACCGCAGCTCTTTAAGAGTTGTTTAACTTTTCTTGAAAATAGCCAACTTGGCAACATTATAAATTATAAAAAATTATGAAACTCACTGCCTTATTCTTAGTTTTTACAAACTTGCAGATAATGCAGCATTGGAGTAAGGTTTTAATTACTAAAAAATTAGACCACAAACATTTTTCATTTTCCCCAAACTCTGGCTTTTCTTCATATTGACGTTTTCTTCCATTTTCTAAATAATAGACAACGCTAGCTTTAGATAGGCTAAGCTTCTTCTAACATTCATGAGTAACTATCGCTAACTCACAGCAATTATGAAAATAGCATATTTTTGGCAAAAAACAGGCACACACTGCCTTGTTTCAAATACGAGTATAAATATTCATACTATTAATATATCATGGAAATTTTATTTTTGAAAAATAAATTATAGATCATTTAGACTACCACTTCATCTTTTGGAAAAAAACAAATATGTTTTTAAATTTTTTTTGTTTTTAAGATTTCATCACATATTGCTCCACAATAAACTGTTAGTGAGCGACAAGGCCAATGCAAATTCTGAGAGAATACTTTCTCTGTTTAGTGAATATACGATAGTCAGCATTTGTTTGTTGGAGTGAGTCAATGTCACCAATTTAAAGAGATTTTCGTTATTTTTTATGTCCCAATATTATAATGGATGTTTTGCAACATATGTTATCAAGTGGTAGAAAAAACAAAATTAGCAGAATTTAGAGTAGGCCGATTTTTTTCAACGTTCTTGACGAAATGGCTGGTACAAAAGGGAGTTAATGAAATTCTAAATTATTTACACGTAGTGTCGAACTATCTAATTTCGTAAAGCTTGCTACCATTAGAACAGAAATTTTGCTACCATTAGAAAAAAATTTTTTCTCATAGCGAAGCAAATTGACTTGGTAGATGATAATCAAAACTGAAGTATAATAGCACAAAAAACAAGAAAAAAATGTATACATTTTTAAAATAATTTCAAAAACAAACTTAGTATTATTTACGTGACCTTTAAAAATGGAGAAATTATTGCTCATATACTGTATATATGCATGGTCTCATATCTATACAATATCATTAGTATTAACGTAAACTATTCAAACTCGGTTAGGTGTTATGTTATACTATAGTACCATACGAAAAGAATTTATTATAGACAAATTAGGGGGTCCACAATGTTTAAGTATGTATGTATACATCATTTCAAAAAGCGTAAAATACCATTAGAATGAAAAAATTGTTATTTATTTACTGTATATATATATATANCTGGACGTGGAGTTAGATCAGTTAAAATGTACATTTGTATATTTGTGTGTTTCGCGACAAAGGCGGTGCACATCGAAGTTGTTGGAAATTTAACCGCTGAATCATTTATTGCAGCTCTAAAAAGATTTGTTGCGCGAAGAGGAAAACCAAATGAATTATTTTCAGACTGTGGTTCAAATTTTGTTGCTGCAAATAAGGAAATTAATCGAGTAGTTAAATCTCTTCAAAAAGAAGAATCCATCCATCAGTATTTTGCCGATGAGCAAATTAAATGGCACTTTAACCCACCTTCAGCACCTCACTTTGGAGGAATTTGGGAAGCTGCTGTGAAATCCGCAAAATCGCATTTGAAAAGAACAATAGGTGATCATAAATTGACCCTTGAAGAGTTTTTAACTCTTACTGCACAAATTGAATCCTGCTTGAACTCTCGTCCTTTGTGTCCAGTATCGGACGATCCCGCTGAGCTTTCAGCACTTACCCCAGGACATTTCCTTGTGGGAACCGCTCTTTCCTCTATACCAGAAGAGAACCTTCTAAGCGAAAACATATCCCCATTAAAACGTTGGCAGTTGACTCAAAAACTTTTCCAGAATTTTTGGAAAAGATGGGTTAACGAGTATATTTCCAGCTTACAGCAGCGCCCCAAATGGTTGCGAGAACAGCCTAATTTGAAAATTAACGATTTAGTTCTCATTAAAGAGGACAATATTCCACCTTTGAAGTGGAAATTAGGGCGTATACAAGAAGTTTTTCCTAGTGCTGATGCTAAGGTAAGAGTGGTCAGTGTCAAAACTGAGACTGGAACTTATAAAAGACCCATTCACAAACTGTCAGTTTTACCTATTGACTGATTAACTTTCTTTATTTTATTTTAGACTTTTCTTTTGTTTTGTGTTAGTTATCCGGTTTATACCAAGGAATCTATACATCTGTTTATAATTATATATATTTAAATTTTATGTATGTTGCATTAGTTTTTATAATTATCTTTTTATTAGATGTATAGTTTAATTCTGTTTTTTGTCAATTTATGTGCAAATTTTGAAACTATGTTTCAAGGTGGCCCGGTATGTTGAAGCCGGTATGTTGCTACGCCCGTTGGCTTCTTGGCGTCATTGTTATCAGCCAAGAGCCAGTTGATGTGAAACAACAAAAGAGCATACACGCTCCGCAGCGCTACCAGCGCACCCGCAAAATAAATAGTTTACAGTCCACGTTTGATTTTTATACACCCGCAAGCTATCGGCCAAACATATATATATGGCCCCATGACTCCCTGTACTATTCAAACTCGGTAAGGTATTATATTATAGCATACCATACCTAAAGAAATAATATGAAGCAAATTTTTGAGCCCGGGAAATAGTTATAAAAAAGAGGGGTGTGACACTTTAAGAGCTGTACTTATTGTAGAAATGGCTCAGTATTGTCCCTTAATATCAACCCATAATATTTTAAAATAATTTCAAGAATGTGTCCCTAACACAGTTACGTTTCATTTGATGTTCAAAAAAATAATAATTGAGAATCCGCTCATTTAGTCCAATCATTTCTCTACGAATATATCTTTTTTAGAGCAACTTTCTTCCACCACTAGAAAACTACCGTTTTCACTAGAAAAAAAAAATTCCCTTACAGCGAGGAAGCAAATTGGTTTTTCTATTGATTGTCACATATGAATTACAATAATACCTCAAAAACAAAAAATTAAAAAAGTATAGTCGTGACAAATTTTCAAAAATGTATAATTGATTCAATAACGTTTTAAGGGTAGGCTAAAAGTTTTTTTTTTCCAGTTTTTTTAGAATCCATTCATTTTGTGCATTCATTCCTCAACAAACACACATCATTTTGGATCTGCTTTCTTTGGTGACGATTCACGTCATGTAAACAGTTAAGATAAAATAATGTTATCAATGTATTTGTATGTAAATACAGCAAAATCATGTCCCGTCATTAGCGACACACACATGCAAGTAATCGCATACATATGCTTAAGCACTAAACAAAGATAAAATTGCCGAATCATTCTTACATTATCTGAGTTATTCGAAGAATCTGTTCATGCGGATAATTTGATTTAAAAAAAAATCGTCATCTATCATAAGATTTCAGATTTCTCGTGGGTCGTGAAACACCTTTTCTTTTTATAATAATGTTTCCGCTCATGTTTCATCATGTTAACATGAATGATCGAAACAAAAACAATGTCGACTTTCGCCGGTGAATGTCAACAATCACACTCGGTTTGATGAATGTCCGAAATATTTGTTAATTCCGATTTGATATTAATTTATTCGTTGATCTTATTATGATTCGATATTTTAATATCAGGTGAGGATAGATTAGGAGAAACATCAGTGTACCGGTTTAAATGCATACTGGGCAGTGGCCCTCGGTCTTAAAAAAACATTGATGTAGGGCATACCGGGCAGTGGCACTTAACTAGACCTAGTATATATTTAGGACATTTACCAAAGCGAATATGTGATTGTCAACCTTCGCCGGTGGAAATCAACTTCGGTCATTCACAGTAACATATATAATAAATAAATATGAAAGAAATAGTTATCTTTTGGGAAAACAGCTATGTATTTGTGAGCTATGTAAAGAATCGAAGTGATTTTTTTCCGACTCCGAAATCTTTAGGTCCAGTTAAAAGAAGAAACTGATTTTAAGAAAATTACTTAAAAAAATATTTATAATTATTATATGAACAAAATATTAGAACGTTTTTGAGTTTATGTTTGATAGAAAGAACTGTTGAAAAGATACATAAATTCCAAATACAAATTTATTCAGCTCCTTCAAAAAAGTTGTTGATGCTGTTATCGTCAGCCATTAAAGCAGAGAAGGAGCAATTGTTCTTGCTTTCTAGTGGCGCCATCTATGGCCAAGAATTGGACTTTCATCACACCCATACGTCACAACCGTTTATAAGGCAGCCCCATTCATTCATCCACAGATCGTAATTTTGACCTGAACCAGAGAAAGATCAATCTGCAATTCAGTACCCCCTAGAGGCATAATTCGTTATGGGAACATGGAGGACTTAGCGACCTGGCATATTTAACGTGCACTAGTCACCATTTACTATACGGGGAGTCTTCTGCCTGCTGGATTCGAACTCCCGTTCTCACGAACGCGAGTCCAGCCGGCTCCTTCGAAAAAGAAGTTGCAATATATATATATATGCAAATGAATTCTACGTATCATATTTGTGACAGTTTTTAAATATTATCTAATTATTTAAAAAATCTTCTTGTCTTAAGATGTTTATAAATTCATAGTAACTCTTTTCCTGCAACAGTTTTGCACAATTTCAATATTTAAAATAAATACATTTTAATCACTCATTTCTTCAACTATTTTGTAGTAGTATATAATAAGATTGCAAATAAAACATCTTTAACTCTAATCATGCATGAAAAACAAAGAAGCATATAATTTGAAAATAACATTTATTTAGCATTTTTGCTGTGAAAATTTCGGTGAAATTTTTAATAGAGCATAAATTGGAGTTGGACTCCCAAAGAAGTTGAGAGCTGAAAATTTCAATAACTGACTAAAAATGTTTCAGAATAATAATGAATTCCAATATCGCTTAAATTTTTACATAATAAGGGTATAACTAGTGTGTCCTTGTTATTCCAAGATTTATATATAAAACGGAAATAGCGTAGCTTGCAAGATTATTTACAGCAAAAATAGTTTTTTTAACTAACTATCTGTGTATGTGTCTGAATTGCGTGACGCATATACCCATTATAATCAGTTAGTCAAACCTTTTGTTCTGAACATCGTACTAAGCCTAATCACATAAAATATATTTCTGCGCGAGTGTTGCGTTTAGACTCGATCATTTACTAGGCTACCATAAAAAACAATCGTTCTCCGCTTTCGAATGGCGTACGCGGTTTTTATTCTTTATTCGCCGGTTGTTTAGAAGAAATAAAAAAAAAAGTAAATGAAATGGAGCTTCAAATTTTATGAATGTCATAAACGTGATAACAGTCATCAAAGATAATGGGACGTAATAATAAAACGTGATTCAGATTTTTATTTTTTTGTTCCTTGTTAAGAAGCAGGACATAAATGGAACCGAAATATTTATCGTCTGCAGCTTGATTTTAAATTCATAGTTGAGTTTGGATTGTTTTTAAGATTCTTTTATACAGCAGGTTTCGTACGATTCTACGCAATAGCTTAAGTGCGCCACACTTGAGACGATTATATATATATATAATCGTAT